GTCATGGCATTTTTTTTGGTTTTACTCACTTGTCGGGCATACGCCATCTCAACGTTGTCCAAAGAACTGCGACCTGGTGGTGATAACTCACTAATATAACTGGGCTATTGAAAGAATATAACAGTTATAGTCAAGGGATGTTGATGATGATGATGATGATGATGATGATGATATTTATTTTAAAAATGTGTACACTGCCTTTCCAAGAAAAGCCTTTCCAAAACAATTCAAAGAAAATCTTCCTTGTAAATGCAGTAAAAATCATAAATTCAAATAACCAATGTCTAATATAATTCGGTTAGTTTGTGCTGGGGAAATGCATTTGGAAACCTTCAGCTTTTGGTGATCAAGCTGTTTAGCCTGGTAAAAACTAAAATCACTTCAGTCTGTCCATGCCGTTATATAAAGAGGCTGGAGGAACAACGTAAAGGGACTGGAAGCACAACCTAGTGCTGTCATATGTAATTTTTAGGTTTCTGATTCTTTTTTAATGATTTCCTTATCGGTTTTTCTCTGCAGTTTTAGAGGCAATTCAGCACCACAAAAAGCCATCACTCAGGTGTGCCTGTGACTCTATACAGATGAACATTTAGTCTCACTTGTGGCAAACTCCAGACATTCAAAATCCACTATTTATGTAAACATTCCAGAACAAAAAACCTTGGCAGATATTTTGAAAATGAAGAAGAGCAGGGCCCTTCCATACTACACAATTATAGCATTGCGATTCCACTCTAACAGATGTGGCAGCATCCCATGGAATGCTGGGTTTTATAGTTTTGGAAGGCACTACAGCTTGTGGTCCCAGAATTCTAAATATCTCCCTCTAAACTGCAAATTCAAGGGTTCCATAGGATGTTCTCTGGCAGTTAAAGTGGAAGCATAATTGTGTAGTGTGCCAGTGTCTTCAGCTGTGCCATTTGAGAGGCTGGCAAACAACAGATGCACTCTGAATTCAGTTCTTGCCCTCAACATTCTGGCAACACACAGCTAAACTAAACATAATCAGTGCTCTCTTTCATTTTCTGGACATTACAATAGTTTATGGAACTAGGAAAACCTCCAAGAAAATGACACCTGTATGCAGCCTTTTATGAATCACAAAGCACTGGCTGCGAATTGGTCTTATTTCCACATGCAGTGCACCGGTATTTTTCCACCAGCCTAAATTTAAAATCTTATTGTCCCTGGTTCTGCCCTTTCAACTGATTATTTGTATCCAGAGGTATCAATTAAACCTCTATTATATTTTAAAGATGAGCTTCTGCTTCTCTCCCTTGCTCAGACACAGATAATTTTGCTGAAATGGGGTTTTAAGTGCCAGCCTGTGATGAAAAAGTGAAGCAAGTGGCTTTTAACACAGCAATCGCACTTCAAATCTCTGAGGCCTCTGACTTTTAAGACTGGGAACAAAACAACACATCAAGGGTTTCTAATGCTCTCCCAGCGACACACCAATATTATGCGGGCTCTGCCAAAGACAACAGAGCACTGCCAGGCAACAGATCTCATTCGATCTCTTAACCCATTCGTGGAGACTATGAAAGGGAATATTCTCAGTGCTGTTTTTCCTTCTTGCTTTGAGACTTCGAAGCCCATGATCAGGATAGTGTGTCACTTCACAGTTGGGCACAAAGGATGACAAGTTATCAAGTTATCAGTTCAGAAGAAACCTCTGTGTTTGATGTTTCAAAGGAAGGTTAAACGTCAATTCACATAAACCCTAGTAGTAGTTGAAAGCTTCCAGAACAAGCTGTCAGGTCTAGAAACTCTGCTACTGCAGAGCATCAAGTGATCTTCCCCAGCTTCTAGCATATTTCATCTGCATTCCCGTTACAAGGCAAAACTGGCAGCCTGATAGGGCTTAACAATAACACGTTTTATAGTAAAACACTAAAAAAATATTGAAGAGTAAAACATATTGGCAAAACACCTTTCAAAGAGACAGCACTTCTATAAAGAAATTATTTCTACAATTAGCAGAACACTGAGACAGGAGGGGAGGGGGTGTCCTGCATCTCACTGGCGACTTTCATTTATTTCCATATCACAATATGGACCCAAACCAACAAACAATAGCAATTTAGAAAAGAGAGTTCAGCATTTTGTAAATGTCTCCAAAGATGGGCATCTTGAGAGGAAAGAGGGAGGGAATATGGACTGAAGTCTAAAACATACAAGTCAATTATTAGCCCCAACTATAGCTGACTGTGACTCAACAGAACTTACACAGTTGTTGACTTACCAAGTCCCCACTGTTTCAATAGGTCTGCTCTAGTTGCAATGAAATCAACAGATATTTACATCCCTGCCTCTTGGTACAGAGCTGGAACAGAAGTAACCAGCTTGCCTGAGGCAGTATGTATGTATATAGTTATTTATTTATTCTGGGTCAAGATACATCCTGACTTGCTAATGAGAAAAATGGCAGGAGTTTGTAGCCACAGAATCAACTAGTTAGTTCCATCTGAAACTTCTCAATATCTAACTTGTAGCAGATCCCCAAAGTCTATACCTCATTCTCTTGAGTGAAGTCCAGGGCATCTTCTCCTGAAGCCAGCAGAGTATGAAGGATCCTTTGTTTCACCTGTTCCCACTCAACCAACATTGATTCTCGATGGTACTCCTCAGCCATAGCAAAGGTCTAGGAGAAATGGGGTTAATGAGGAATATACCATGGATCATCTCCATTGGCAATCACTATCTTCTGTTGTTATTTGTGAAGAATAAGTGTAGGGGTGGGATATAATAATTAAAAGAACTTACTGCACAGTTACAAGGGGAGCTGGAAGAGCTGGCAATTCACTCAAGTGCCAAGAAATGTGTCTGCCTTCACATATTCAATTTTTGGACTTAGAAACTTATTTTTCTTTTGTGGGCAGGGAGAAGGTAGGTATAGAGGGGAGCAGTACATTCAATTCCCCACTATGCTATTATGCATCTGAGAGCCCAGATAAAATACACAGAGAAAATTTTTAAAAAACAGAAAAAAAGATACATTAAGAAAAAAAAGAAAGGAAAAGGAAAATAATTTACTGATGTCTTAGTAGACACTTTGTATATTTTTACCTATACTTGCTTTTTATTGATTTTTTTTAAAAAAATCTGTGTCTGTTCTAACTTTCAAATTAGAAATTGACTCTAATTTCAGAAAGAAAGCTGGAAATTACTCACATCCAATCAGATCAACAATGCCTAATTGTAAAATGCATCAAGATATATGTAAGAGTGTGATTCAACTTGTATTTCTTTGGAGACCCGCTGGCATTGACAAATTATATTTTTAAAAATGAGGCGTTTGGGAGAACGAGTTGAAATCCAACTTCTTAAGTAACAAATAATTTTGAATCATATCAGATTGACCTTTCATTAACCAACAGAACCCACGAAAAGTGTGAGGGAAAGTACCATGTGGGTATATATCTTTGGAGACCAAATTCCTTTGTTTTCATTTGGATGGAGAAGGAACACCAAACCTCACTTCTGATAGGATCCTTGGGGAAGATGGACTGGGTTCAGAAAATGCTCACATTAGGTGATGTGTTCTCACAGTCCACCACATGCAGACACACAACACACACTTTGCTTGTTCTGGCATGCTAATCAGGAGCCTGTGTCTTGTAACTAAATATTCTAATTGTCTTCATAATTTGTGTCTATCTCATTGTAATGCACAAGGGCAGTGCCAGGTGTGATGCAACATTAAATCAGAATTTCAAAGGAAAGCTACCATCTCTGATAATCTGTTTCATCAACATGCCCATATACATCTAAGGGAGGTATTTTATGCTTCCTCTCTGTTTTATGACTGCTTGCCCTTCACTGCAGACTGCAGGTGCTTTCCAAGCAGCGAAGTCAATTAAAAAAATTATAACTAAGTAACAATAGCTTATGCAAAGGGTGTCTCATATTAGCCATCAAAGGGCTGGTCAGCTTGACATTACTGGACGCCACTTTAAATGGACATAATTCCATTTTGGAAGTCCACAAAGCTTGTAATGTAGTCTGTTTTACTGGATGTGTATGTAAATAGCACTGTCTTTGTTGAATTCTGTATTGCTTCCCATGAGTGTGTCTGGTATATCTGCCTCCCCTTAAAGAATGTCACATTTAAACACAGCGTTGCTATTCAGCAAGGCTGTGGCTATCCAGCCCACCACAATGCATTACATTTATAAGAATGTCCTCTCTATCCATTGGTTAGTGAAGAAAACATCTAGATTGCTTGGTTGTCCAAATCTCCCAGAAACAGGCATCACACCTGCATTAGCAAGAGGGACCTATAACCTCATCTGAGATAAAGAAGATGGTTGTCCAAGTCATGAATGTGTTCTTCATGGCTTGACTTTGTTTGGAGGTATATGGAGCACCATCAGTCCTTGGTGGTGATGTCAGTTATCAAGAAACAAGTATTGTTAAACTTAAAAGTTTGACTAGACTGTTTCATCATCATACAACACAGAGGTTAAAATGAAGGCCATTGACCTGGGGGAATCCTTGGGCACCGGCCAAAAGCAAAGTTGTTTTTGCAAGCCTGATGGCTGCCCAGCTCTCTCTGACCAGACTGAGTTCCAGCTCAAGATTTCTTTCTATACCTTCCCCCAACTTACTCGTTTCCTGGACTCTTCAATGGCGGACAGCAATGCATTGTCTTTTTCATTTTTCAGGAAACCCTATAGAAAGAAAAGGTTTTCGTTAGAAATAGTCTTGAGGTTCCTCACCACACAGTGGGATCAAGGCAACTTTTTCTATACTTTGCTTGAAATGAAAGGCTATTTGACTTGGTCTCTCTCTCTCTCTCTCTCTCTCTCTGTATCTATAACACTCTATGTGAAAATGGGTTTCTTGTCCTTGTTGTGTGCCTTCAAGGGGTTTCCAATGTACAGCAACCATAAGATAAACTTATCACTAGATTTTCTTGGCAAGATTTGTTCAGAAGGAGTTTGCCCCTCTGAGGCTGAGAGAGTGTAATTTGCCCCAAACCACAAAGTGGGTTTCCATGGCTGAGCAGGGATTTGAACCCTGGTCTCCAGAGTTGTAGTCCTAATACTCAAACCACTATGCCACACTGGCTCTCACCAATTTGTTATTACTCCCTAACTTTTTTTTTAAAAGCCTGCCTTAACTTTTTACAATTACCTCTTATCTCTAAATTCCAAAATCTGCTTCCATTCTCCTACAGTTTGAGAGGACTGGGACAAACTCTTGGCAGGCCAGTGAACAGATAAGCTGAGTTAACCACAGTGACTTGTTAAAATGGAAAGGACACGTACAACACCCTTAAACACACAAATATCTGTAATGGGGCCAAAGAAACAAAATGAGCAAAGCTGGAAATAATCACTGTTAGTCTTTTATCCAGACAGCGTGTGACAAAAGTGGATTTTCAACCCTCTTTTCTTTTTGATTGCTCTGTATTATTTATCTATCACATTATTTTGGAAAAGTTTAATGTAGCCTGAGGCCCCAGCCAGTTCTCCATGGATGGCCAAACAACCTGTCATTTGTTTAACACCCTCTGCTTTCCATTTTATTTGTTCACAGGGGAACAGACCCAAATAGGCAGCCTGCCAGCCATCAGAATGGGGGAGTAAGGAAATCAACTTGTTTGTTTGCAATGTACAGTACATCTATTTTCCCCTCCCACACTTTAGCCTAGATTCATACTAATCCCATTTTTTTTTTAGCAGGAAACAACTATTTACCAAAGACAGACAATGCAATGCAGTGGCCACTCTGTTGGATTCAGATGTGGAAAAACCAGGTACAAATTGTCCTATCTCCTCCAACGAGGACAAGTGCAAGCCGCCTGAGTCCAAGGAGCGTGAGCAACCAGATTGTCCTCTGGATCAGACCCCTCAAGAGGGCACAGCCTCCTGTACAGAGACAGTGTGACCCTTGAGCTGGAGGATGCTGGACTGTGGTTGACTTCTGATGGGAAATTCCAGCAGTGCTGGACTTTGGGTCAGGCTCTGATTAGAAAATAGGCATCACTTCATTGAGCAAGACTCTGAAGTGAAAGGAATTTCTGTTTATTAAAGGTTGTACAGCCAGCACACCTTGACCTAAAGCATTTTTACTAGAAGTAACAAGTTGCCGATTCTATAGCTTCTACCAACTGCCTGTCTGAACTTCTCTTTCCATAGATAAGTGATCTACTGTTTTCATTTGTTTAACTGGAAAATTACACTACCATAGTTTGCATTTCTTTAAAAAATTGACTTTAGTTGTCTGAAGACTATAAAATGTTGAGGCACTCTCAGCTTGGGGATCCCATTTTGCCAACTGTCTGCTTGACAAGGTGTGAGTCAGAATTGGCTGTCTCAATAAAGCCAATTCTTTACTTCACCAGTGGGTCTCTGACTAAATTCTGAAGGGATTTTCCTCTTTTGCTTTTCCCCCTTGGAATAGCTCTACCATTTGCTGTTGTGGAGTGGATAACATTAGACCAAGAGTATGAACTGTGTAGCCCTCCCAATCTGGTGCAATTCCCAGCATTCCTAATCATATGCTATGCTGACTAGGGCTGCTGGGAGTTGCAGTCCAACACAATCTGGAAGACGGCACAATATCTCTTGAACCTTACCATCACTCCACACTGAATGAGTGTTTATGTATGGTGTGTTAGAATCAGAGCTTGGGAACATTGATTTTTTTTTGTACTACACCACCAGTTTCTGACTGACCAGGCTAATGGGAAGGATTTTAGCAGCTGTAATTCAGAAAAAATAAGGTATCCAGCCTCTGGTTAGAAGCCTTCTAGCTTGCACTTGGAAATGAGATAGGATTTATTCTAAGTCCCCAAACTGAATTCTGTATGTTTCTTTTCCCATCACCATCACAGCAGAGAAGTTGGTATTTCCTCTCAATCTCTTTTTTTTTTTTTTTAACTGGGGTGGAGAGGACAGATGCAAGGAAGAAGGTATGAAGAAATTTAAAGATGACAGGAATAATAATAAAATGTGGTGTCACTAGTGAAACAGACACAAATTAGAACTGAAGGCAAAGACTCTAGCAATCTCTAATTATGGAAACTGGGAGGGGAAAAAGGAAAAATGACAAAGATTGTGAAGCTTTTCAGATTGGGTTTTCTTTCACGTGGAAAGCATTGGGACTTGCATCACGATCCCCTTGAATCCTTAGTATGAAAACCTCCCCACCCCAACACGCAACAGCAGAACAAGAGGCAAGATGCTGTTTTTAAATGACCAGCCTCTACCGTTTGGTAGCTGGGTTCCCAAAACCTTAAGCTGCTTACACTCCTTTTGTAAGCTCTAAATCCACCCACATGAAATTTGCTACTGACACTCATCTCTGATGCAGGTTTGACACTGAGTACAGGCTTCCACGTATCTCAGCCTTTCAAAATGCATTCTCTTGCCTGCGTGGTTGTTGGTGTGCATGGCAAAACGCACAAGTTGTTCCCATAACAGTTTCCACATTCAAGGACAAACATGCTGTTCCTTGCTCAGGTACCTCCCTCAACTTTTTGATCACGCTCGCCTATTTAATGTATTTCTCATGATTTACTCATACCTTTATGTACATCCTTTTTTCTCCTTGAGTATGGCAGGAGCAGGAGGGGAGGGAGCCATTTGTCTCCAAAAATCTCAGGTACTGGGTTCAGAAGAAAACAGGGAAACTAAGGTTGTACTTCATTTATAGACAAGAACTAGGACTTTCTTTGGCACAATCCTTTCTTTGGTCTTCCTGTCCTCCAAAGTGCCAGGAGCGGACCCATTAATACTTTACATGGATTCTTGTTCTCTCCAGTGAATGGTGTGAAGCAAGGCTTCTCAGGCTATCTGGTTTTTGGGGGGTGGGGTGGGGGCAGCCATTTCCCCTTTCCCACAATGTGTCAAAGACCAACATCATATTTGTGCCCATTTGACTTCAACTGTTTTGTTCTCTCCTGGAAACTCACTAGGGACTGGCAGCCAACGGTTCAGGAACCAGCATCAGTCCAGGGACCACTATTTTGAGTAGTACTGGTGTAACACACAGTAGGGATTGCACATCTGCTACTATTAAAGCACCCAGGGAGACACACACCGGAGAGATGAAACTCTTCTTGTGCAAGCTATAGTTAGAACAAAAGTGTTTAAAAGGTATATTTAGATCTGTGTCGAGGTAGCATTAGAAATGACATAAAAGATGGGGGGGTGTACCCCTGAACATAAAAAATGTAGCAGATGAGAAATATGTATGCAAACAAAGACTGTGTTGAGGATTACATATCATTTGGGTGCTGGGTAGCATGAGTCCAACTTCAACAGAGAACTGTCCTCTCTAGGTCTATCAGATTACAATCCTCAATCTGAAGGTGTCATTTATTTGAAGGGAAGCCAGCCCAGTCCAAGTCCAGTTTATGGGCAAAGAACGAGAAGAAGGGAGAGCAACAGGGGTCTGGAAAGCACTCTTCAACATGTAGCGATTGAAGAGGACTGAAGAGACAGGCACACAGGTCACCTAGTCACAGTCTTTCTTTGTAGCACAAAATATGTACACTTGTATTTAATTTAATGCAAACGTTTCCAAATTTGTATCTATCTATATAAACTAACATTTACAAATTACATACAAATGTTCTTTTTTCCTCCTTTTTTAAAAGTGATCTTTCCCTCTTTTTCTGGTAATATCTAGTTGGGTACGGCATCAGCAGCTGGCTTCTCTGCAGACAGGACTATTTTCACTATATAGGTCTGACCTCATTACATCTGCGCCTTGGAAGATGCATACAAATATAACATAGCTCACTTCACTCCCAAACGTAGAGAGATCTTGTAGTACCTTTGAGATTAACTGAAAGAAAGAAATTGGCAGCATGAGCTTTCGTAGACTCCAGTCTACTTCCTCAGATGCATTTGGCTCCCAAATGTTTGAAATGCTGACACAAAGGAGACAGATTAAAGAATGCTGTTGTCCAGATTTCTTCAACCAGTTAATTGATTCAAGTTTAATAACTGTGTTACGAGATTTTGAAGAAAGTCCAAAATAATGGTTTAGTAAACAAAAGGTGTTAGAAGGAAAGGCAATGTTTAATATTTTCTTTTGAATCCTCCTGACAACAACAGTAGATGCAAAATACCCTCAATATAAAGCATGCTGTGGAACAATAAAGACTGTAGCCTTGAAAAATGGTCAAGAAATGCATTTGAAAAATGAAGCAAATAAATGAGTTTACATGCTCAATCAGTTAAAATGTGTCCTTGCCAAATGAAGTTGGTTCTTCCCAATTAGCATGCCACCTCCAATCCAATTTATGTTTACTTAGATGCAATTCAATAGGACTAATTCCCTTTGAAGGTATGTTTACGATTGCATTCTTAAGTTGGTTTTGCTACAAACTAAATGGACTAAAGTTTGCAGTCTGAGAAAAATGTGTTATTGGGCTGTTGTTTTTAAAGATCACAAGCTAACATCAAGCTCTTTCTGCTTATCTCTAGCTACAAACCACTTGCCTAGACGCTTTCAGTCCTTTTTTCCCCCTGGTTCAGATAAAGGGAGTTCAAGAACTGAAAAGTGGCCATTCAGAACACTTCTCTTACATGTGCTTGATATTATGACTTTGCATCTGGAGAACATCTGGGGAATGGACCCATTCTCACTCAACTGTAGGAAAGGCTCAAACTACAGAGGTGTGGTGGAATAATCCTGGCTCCTTTACCTTTTCTGACAGCTCCTTGTTAGGGCATTAGAAAAAGCTGCAAGGAAGAAATAACAATTTTGTGCATCTGCCAAATAAATGGCTTATGATCTCCTCATTCAAAAATTTCTAAAGTTTAATTTTAAGTAGCCCCCAGTTGAAGGCTTCAGGAACACACACAGCTCAAAATGTGACAGGCTTTCCTATTAATGAACAGACCCCTTTTGAGCATCATGAAGCATGCTGCTTCTGTGTTTCAAGGATCCACAGTTTTCCATAGGGAAAACACATTTCTTTAAAGGTGAGATTCTGAAACATCACTGAAAAAAAGGTCTGGATTCTCTTTCCAATATTGTATTTTCGTGTTCATGAAGAGACAGCCATTGCTGTTGTCTCATCAAATACACAAGTGCATTTTGAAAAGTGT